AAAATAACTGCAAATACTTACCTCGAAATCTTAAAAACTCAATTACTTCCATTCCAGAACGCAATTAGGGAATTAACGGGAAATCACGCAATCTTTCAACATGGCAATGCGCCAATACATACTGCGGAAAAATCAAATGAAAATAAAATCGTGATTATTAATTGGCTGGCGAATTCCCCAGACCTGAATCCAATAGAGAACATTTGAAAGATATTAAAGGACAATATTCAAAAAATGAGAAACTTTCCAACGACTGTGGACGAACTTAAGATTGCACTGAAGATGGACTGGGAAAAACTTGATGTGGCCATTTTAGAACGGGTTACTGCATCAATGCCACGAAGAATTAATGCTTATTGGAGTCAAATGAGGGCTAATTAAATATTAAATAAATTTTATTTTTTATTTTGTGTATAAATTGACGAAAATCAAATAAATTGAAAAATGATCTAAATTTTTATTTTTAATTTTGCATCGGGCAATATTTTCTGTGGGTGCTGTACGTTAGAAGCTGCGAATTTTGTGTGTAATTACGATCGTTATATAATAACCAAATTGTACATAAAAGATGGGTCTCGATGGTCTGAGAGACAGGCAATGTGTGGTTTGATTTTAGCTTTTACCTAACTACGTCCCGGATTTTTTATTTCTTTTGTTCTTAACAAAACCTGAATCTAGCTTTATTGCTTTGACCATACCTATTTTTGTAATTTGAATTATATATTACTTGAGTTTTGTTAATAAAACCTTTTTAATTATTTATTGTCGTATGAATTAATGTTAGTAATTATTTATTTTTGTTATTTGAGTTAAACTTTATTTGAACTTCACCTTTTGCCCTTGATCGCACAATCCCCATCGAAGACTGACACAGGAGACCTTTAGAACCATAGTGATATCCACTTTGAGTAAATCATTCAGTCTAGCCCCCAATCTTTTGTTACAACCACAATTCGTTAGTCAAACCTAACTTTCGAATCGAGTGTAACAACATCGAAGTGGCCGATCTGGCATTATTAGCACCTGACATCCCGTTGGACGATGCCATATTAACGAGGTTTGTCTGTAGTTTTAATTTTATAAGTTAATAGCTTCTTGAGCATGAAAGTGAAGCCAAAATTTGACCGTGAATATTATAGAATAGGCGATTCTTGATAATATTTACAGATTAAATCTTGATTTGCTTTTTGGTATGTAAATGAAGAGAATGCAAAATTATAGTTTCAGTCTTTTTCAATTTGTGTTATTTCTCTAAATTCTTGTATCGAGTGTATAAGAAATCATTTTTTTGTTTACTGTAAAATCCCGAAAATAAGCCACCTCTTTTTTTTCCCTTGTTGACTTAGGAGGTTGCTTATTTTCGGTACTTTACGACAGTGTTTAAAATTGACCTGCGCAGCGCATATTGGGCGTTGTTTGCGCAATGATTTTTTAGAGATAATGCGCTAGCGTAAAAAAAATCATTTTGCGCAGGTTTCGCGCATAATAATTGCTTTTTGTAAAGTTGCGCAGATCAGAAAACAATCTGCTGTGGTGTTAGTTCTGAATTTTTATTTTTATCGTGAGAAATCTTCCTCTTTGTGCCTACCTTTTACATGGATACATGCATTATGCATTATATGCATAAGATATACAAGCAATAAGAACTTGCCATTATCAAAACTCTTCTTAACTTTATAATTCAAACAATAAAACATTTCGGTCTTATTCATTCATTCCGTGATAATAATACGTAATATTTAATGTGTAAATGTACAAAACAATCGAATCGGAAAGGATTGCAAGCAAATAATCAAGCAGATTACTCTAATAAATCTGCTTGATTTCTATTGACGGCTGGCCATATATCCTTAAACTAAAATGTGCGTTGTAGTCGTCATTGCACATGCAATATACGCATATTAAAAATAACTTCGTATAAAAATTTTTTTATAAAAAATGTCTTTGAACCATTACTTTACGGTACATTGCTGATTGCGGATGTTTAATGCTGATACATGCAGATGCTACAAACATGAGATTTCCGCTATTCCCCCCTTTTACATGTACAGTAATACATCTTTCCTCCTTTTTTTTTAACAATTTTCTTTTTTTATTGTTTCACTTTGTCCATAGAGATGTAAGAGACCCGGGGTATTTTTCACAGTGAATTACGGTATTTTATATATGGTTTTTCAGTTTTTTCTTTGAGCTAAGCACTTTCCAATCGAAGAGAATTTTTTATTTTGAATCTAAAGATTGCTAGTTCTTCTTTGATAATATCGCTGGATATAAAATAATTTGGCATAAATGACCACATCTTAAAGAAGTTTTTCTAATTATTCACCCATAATACTACACAATGATATTTACTTTCAGAATCTTTTTCCGAGAAAATATCACTATTACATAATATCGGAATATATCGTCAGAAAATTTTGATTCTTATGGATGAATTTAGTCACATTATACATGCCGTATATCTCTGAAAATAAGCAACCAAAAAATCTTATATTTAAGTATAAAGTGATTTGTGTATCTATTACATATAAATACTTACATTTCAAAGTCTATCATATAATGAACACTTGAGAAAAATATGAAAGAGTTTGAAAAACACTTAAAAATACATATTAAAGGTTTAACTTTTTAATTGATAATATAATGTTTGTTTTTAATAGAATAATAGATATTATAAGATTACTTATATTTGGTATTTATCATTTCGTGTATTTTATGTTCAAAATAGTGGGAGTTGCTTATTTTCGGAGACATACAATATATATGTATCTAAATTATTAGTACGGTCAACTCTTTCTAAAACGAACTGGTGATTCTGTTAAAAAAGTTCGTTATACAAATATAAGATTTAAAATTTTAAGTTCGTTATCTTCTATATTTATTTGTTATAAATGCTTTGAAATAAAAGTGAAAATGACATTCATTAAACATTTGCATATTGACCGATAAACCTTGTCGTTATTTGAGGAAATTGTAACAGTGCACTTGTTCCAGCATAGCCAGAAAAAATTCTCGGTATTGATCCGTAATGGTTAGTTAGAAGCATGTACGGTTCATTTAATTTATCAAGTAAACCAATTAAACCGCAAGATATTAAATATTGATAACATTACGATTAGGATTAGAGTTAGGATTAGGGTCGGAGTTAAGATTATAAAAATTTCGTAAAAAATTTTTTTTGCTAGGAACACAGAAAGCAGTGATTTCGATTTTTCCGTTACACGTTGATCTTGCGATTTGACATGCCCCTGACCGTTTTATCGTACCAGGTTAACTGGCGGCTATTAACAACAATAGAATATTCTCGTATTGTATATATAACTTGTTCAATATTCACAAAACAAATGTCAAACTGAAAAATAGCTTTTATCTCGAAATTTCGTCATGAAACTACTTTCTGTGTTCTAACAAAAATGTTCCTTACGAAATTGTACTATACACACTTGTGCGCGCAATATACAATATATTCTTAACCCTAACCTTAACCTTAATAAAAAACGCAATTAAAATTTCATATCTTACGATCAGCCCCTTAAAAAACACATGAACCGGAATTTTAAAGCGTAGTCCATCATGTGATTGATCTATGTCCAGTAGGAATGAAAACTATTCATAGATGCGCTAAAAATTGATCACATGATGAACTTTGCTTTAACCGTTCTCCAAAAAGTGTGAAAAATATCCTTTTAATAAGAGTATATTCTCCAAGTTCTTTAAATTGAACTTTGTTAAAATGAGAAACTGATGACACTCGCACAAATTGATTTACGAATAGTTGACAATTCTATTAGATATTGATTAATGTGTTATTAATAACCAGTTAGTATTTTACAACATGACTTGCTTTGGTAAAACGAAATTGCTTTTCTCAATTTCGATATTTAAATGATTTAGACTGTCATTTAGTTGACGGGACGGAGGAGATCACAGAGACGAAATCCGAAGTGGGGGGAAACGAATTTTTCTTTTCTCAATGCAATATAATATCCTCTTTTTAGAGGATTATGACTGCTTCGCGGGCTAGGCTGCCCCTTGCTGGTGCACTCCGAGAGCGCCCACAGACCATAAATATGGATTATTTAGAAGCTCACGAGGGGTATTAAATTGTACAGTATCTGATTCCACTTTAGTTTTTAAGAGTAAGTAAAAATTTTTATTTATCATAATGCGAAAATCTCTCTAACGTGCCTTTTTATCACGGGTGTAAGTGAACCAAGAAATATACCACTCAATTGCCGATAACTTTCCGGAGCTATGACGGAGATGTGGCATATATCAAGAGACAAACCTTGTATTGTTGCAACAACAATAATTTAATACTATATAAACTCATCAATCGGTGGAACTAATGATGCGAATAATTACGATAGTCACCTGATAGAACAGACGTGTTCGGTTTATTTAATCAAGGTTTCTATAGTTTGTTTCCCGTGATTATGTTTTAAACTTTACGTTAATTTAAATGTTATTCCCACAAAAAAACTATGAACTCTGTTAATAATGATCGTAAACTATAGTCTGATCGAGCAATCCACCGAAATCTACATGTTTGTGTCACTTTGATCAGTCTTCTCCTAATAAGCTCAAGCTTGTTTCATTAATCTAAGTAAAAAGTTGAATATTCAGTTTTTTTAGTCAATTTGTTTTGGTGATTTTTGTGTCGGAAAATTGTATAGTGGCATGGCAAATCTTTTTTATCAAAATCGAAAACTCATCAGTCGATTGTCGACGGTTTACAAATTAAAATATATTAATATACTGATTCCTTAATTTTCAAGCAGACGTAAAGTCAGCTAAACAGTTATGCCCCCCTCATAAAAACTCAATTCATTAAATATTGAAGTAGCATATACTTTTATGTTTCAATGGTAATAATAGTATTACCGCTATTATTATAAGGCTTTTGAAGCTATAAACATATTAAATTGTTCTGTAAGAAACTAAAAGTGATAAAGAAGCAGTTGAAAGATCGTGAATGTCAAAGAAGCTGTGTGAAAATAATTATGAAATCTCGCCGTTCAAACACACTTGATTAAATTTTGTATCGGAATTTTCAAGCTTCCTTTTATAATTAGTAATTTATCGAAAAATACGTGTACAATTCACGCTTGATACCAGAAAGTAATTGGGACTTGATTAATTTTCTTATAAAAGTTCTGATATCAAGAATGTTTATAATGTCAATGGTATTGAACCATATAAATTTCCTTATATGTGTCTGATTTGGTTTTATTATTACATGCAAATAGGGAATTACTTTTGCGGGCTACTGTGCATTATTCATCACGCTGTGACCGTAGTACCCTTCCCTGTAAAACTTTGCCATTAATTTAATCTCAAAACAAATAATTGAATGATAAAGTTTTTTGAAGAATTATCAATGAGACTCTTTTGAAAAAATAATTTTTTATTTGAGATTAGGGACTTACCATAAATCAGGTGATTTTTATTTAATATAAGGCACCACCCATCCACCCGCATTTGATACTTTATAATCATGTGTATTAATATATTATATGAACCTGACATTTTAACTGCCACCCCAAAATCAGGTGATTTATGTCAGGTCCCTTAAAATAGGAATTTTGCAAAATTTCAAAACATATAATAAACAGTTTATCTTTAATGCAGACTTGCTTTTAAGAATATTATTAAAGGCATTCAAAATAGCTGATCTATCTCGTTACACTTAAAGCTCCGTTCGGTTCGTGACCTGAACCGAATCCGACACTTCGTACCCAGTTCGGATTGCTATTTTTCAATCCAAAAAAAAATCGGTTCGGTTTCGGTTCGTTCCCGGTTTTACATCAGATCCGAAACGGTATAATTCTGCTGGTTCGGTGATTCGATCAATAGACTTGTTTAGTATGTTAAGAATCATATGACCCGACGCTCATTAATTATCGGACCAACCCGAAATTTGACCCCGATCCGGTCAATGTCTAACCCGAACTGAAAATTTTCGGTTCAGAGCGGATTATTCTCCGAACGGAGTTTTAGTTACACTTGCCGAATGATGTAAAAAGTTACAGTTCTCGCCAAAAGTAATGGAAATCACATATTTACTTTTTATTATATCTCACTAAAAAAAAGGATTACAACATGAAACAAGAAAATAAAAATGCTATGCTATTGTAGTAACTGCCATAAAAAAATTAATTATATGTCCATTTCTCATCAGTACCTCCCTATCCTATTCGGCATACTACCTACTAACCTCAAAAATACCAAAATTTCAAGATTATCCCCATTCGGACTTAATAAACCCCTTAAACATTCTACAAGTCATCTGTTTTTTTGCATTTCAAAACATTTGAAAGGTTATTTCATCCGAAAAAACTATCTGGCTCCATTTTGGATGCAAGTGATTTTTGGCCCATTCGGCGCGACATTCTCAGCAAGCTGGATTTAATGGCGATACAGATTTTGGCCGAATACATTGCCAACTAAGTTCTGTCAGTGTTCTAATAACAGTTCATTCTGAAACATTCAGCTTGCATTAAGTTTTTCTGCAATTTCATTGGCGGGAATTTCACGATCTTTTTCAATAAAATTTTCCAATCTTTTCTTTTTTCGAGGTGACAATTTGACTGGTCTGCTGGAACGGGGAAAGGGATCAATATTTTCATTTTTTTTTAATTTAGCTACATAACAGTATACAGTCATTTTCGGTATGCCCATCATTTCAGCCAAACACGCCGGCGTATGGACACCATTTGCCCATTAATACTCGAAAAACACCCCGGCGGCGAGCAAGTGATAGTTCCTCCATTTGATGCACTAGCTAGCGAAAATTTTTAAGAAAAAAATGCAGTGTCATGTTGTGTACCTATCCCCGAGAAACTATTTAATATATTAGGAGTATTGCATGCCCATTACTTTTGGCAAGAACTGTAACAATTCAAAATGCACGCTTGTGTCTTTGAAAATGATACAACAATTTGTTTGATGTGCAAAAGCATGAGAATAAACATCTCAAGGCATTTCACATTTCAGAATGCAATGAGCTGCTGCATATGATCCAGACAATTTTCTTTTATACTGATAATGTAATGAATGAATGATATATTCATTGATTTGAGTTATATCAACCATCAAAAACAATGTGATTGCTAGCGCATGATCAACTATTATGGCATAATGCGCATACATGCGTGCGCATGCACGCATAATGTATATAGGCACATCTAAACTAGATTTCGGAATTTTCAATCCATTGAATGGTAGGCCAGCTGAAACTGTAGCTCGAAATCTGAGACATTCAAATGTGGGCGTTTCGAAATTGTGAAGTGAATAACGATATATTGTGATAATGTTGTTTGTTTTCTAAAAAAGAGGTTAATTCGTTGTAAGTGTACTGTATCATTGAAGGAAATTGAGAATGAATTAGAAGCAAGAGAATTTATTGATGTTGTTATAGAAAAATAACCTCGTCATCAGTATGAGATGTTACAACTCATTTTTTGAAAGTGAGGAAGGTTGTAACCAAGTTAATGATGTATTGTATTTGTTCAGATGAATGTTTTGCAGCAAAATAAAGGCAGTATTTGAGATGATTGGCACAATAGCATCGGAGCTTCGTACTCTCATCATGTAAAACGAAATCTCTTCCTATGTTTCCATACAAGCATTACAAATACATTTCGATTGCTTTATTTGCCCACTCAGTATAATGTAAAATATTCACTGGGCGAATGTGGTGGCTTGTCTATTTGTGTCGAATAGTTTGGGCAGTGAAAGAATCCAAGTAGCAAATATTCAATAATAAATGCAAAAGAACGCGCCAAATTGAGATATCGTGTCAATTGACAGTGATGCGAATGTCAAAATGTTCGGAATGCCGAATCAAGATCAAAAAGTAATCATCAATGCGAATATAAACTTCGCATTATCATTATGCATATCAATATATCGTATATGTATGTATGATAAAATAACGATCGCAATGACATTAAAAAAAATTATCATTACAACGTGAAAATAGAATTTTACCCTTAGCTGAATTTTCGTAGTCATAACGGTATTTTATCGGCTTAGAATGATGATATGGTGATGAACGAGAATATACAGGCAAACGACCATTTGGTGATCGAACATTTCTCTCATATTAGACAACATTAAGGAGGCGTATAGGTAGAAGTATCTTAGTCATTTTTTTTGCGAAATATCCAGAAAATCGGAATCAAATCACAGGACCTGGATGTAGTGGAAAGAACTATTTTACACTAATATATCTTTTCATTTCAACTTCTCCAATTTCAAATATGGAAATGAATTTTACCAAATATCATAGAAGATATTAAGATCTCCGTTTTGGGCTCCATTGTGAGTGAAAAAACTGCCTGTTTACTATATGGAAAATCACACAACTTTCTGTTACAGTTCTGCGAGTAGAATCCAGTATTGATGATTGGAAATTGATTCAGCTTCATTTATATATTGTTCTAAGCATACAACAACTACTTGTGATTGTGTAGTTACGCGTGCGATGTACACAAATTGTTGGGCTAAACAATATTCATGAGATATACAATATAGGGTAAAAATAGGTTTATTTATTAATTGAGATTTATTTTATTGTCTTTTAAATGCACAAAGACCAACTCTCTCTCAGTGAATTAATGATTTTTAATATATACTACATGCAATATACCTATACTCTCCAAGAATTTTATATTTTTAAATTACATTTTCTCATCAATCATATTATTATTAATATCAGGATATAAAGGAAGATACAATAATTCTTTATTTGTTAAAAATATAGAAAATTTGTTAGGCATTGGGCTTATTATGAATTTTTATAAACCATGAAATTCTATTCATTAATTATTTTAATATTATTAACAAATATAATTTATCATTTTACAAACTTTCAAACTTTTCTTAACTCGAGTAAATGCTTTTACTTAAATAATATTACAAAAACTTTATCTTTACGAACATTTCATGTGATACAAAGCATGCTTGTAAGTCATAAAATAATTTTTGACCCATCCACATAAAAATTTTATATTCTAAACTTTAAGTCTATGTTTAGTGAAAACACCGTCTTTAAGAAAGTATTTTTACGTACGTACTTTGGTTACTATGGATTTTGCAATACTCTAGCCCAGTGTTGTCCTGGGACACGTACACAGACATGGGACAGTCCGTGTCCATGTCCATTTTTTATGTCCTAGAACTTGATGCCCGTGTTTTAATGCTTGCATATCACTTGTTTTCGGTTTAGTGTTGATCAAGGTTAAGATCAGCTCGTCCGTACCTGCGGACAGGCCCATCCCGGACTTTATATGTCTGTGTTCACCAGAAAACGTGTACGTGATCTTTTAAGGGTAAACCAATCAAATCGCAAGCACCAATGTGTAAATAAAGGAAAAATTAAAACGTTTATTTTTGAAAAATGGCTTATATTTCGAAATTTTGCTTGTGTAGTTACTTCCAATGTTCTAACAAAAAATCTTCCTTACGAAATTTTACTCTTGATCTTAACTCCGACCTAATCCTAATAGAAATGCTATTCATATTTCATATCTTGCGATTTGATTGGTTTACTCTTAAAAAATCACGTGCCCGTAAATTTCTCTTCGTCATGGTTAGTTACGAAAATAAAAAACACAGTTAATGAATGCTTGAATCTAGTTTGGAGTATCTAACGAAAAATGACGGGAAGACAATTTTACATATAATCGACAATAATGTACACTATGTCAATGATTACGGAGATATACCATCCAAAATCGGTACAAAATAACGAATGCTTATTTAGTTATTTAATTTAAAAATATTCGTTTGTTTTAATGTCAGTTTTAATAAGAGCAAATTCAGAATATTGCGTTTAAATACTTAAAAAACACAACCGATGTTAAATAACGTAACTTTACAAAGTTATGTAAAGATGATTTTATATATAAAAAAATAAAATAAAAACACGGGTACTAACTATATAGCTAAAGTTATGTCATATTATAACGGCCGTTATTTTGCACCAAAGTTGGGATATTCTTCGCAATTACTGAACAAGTTCAACAAAATAAATAGCAGAATGCTCGTCTCGATTAGATAAGTCGAATAAGCCTAAAATTATGAAAATCTGATCACAGGTTGGCGTTATATTAATAAAAAGTTGATCAAAAAAATTTGATATACATGCATGTTTATGTTGTGTCCCAAACTATTTTAATTTAGGCCGATTGTGATTTGGCACAATATCAATATATAATCTTGTTTTCATAGTAACATCGCCGCCATTGCGCATAACCATATAATTTTCTTTATATGGCATTACACGTCGTTTCACTGAGATTTTATTAGCGGCTACAAAAAAATTTGTTTCTTGGATGTAATTGCTTTTTATTAATACGTGTTTATAGACAACAAACCATTCTCTAATACCAAACTCATTCAAAATTAATATTACAATAATACTGCTGTTATCTTCACCCTTATTAGATAAAATTATAACAGAATAAGACTTATTTTAATATAACATAATAATCCCTCGCGTAAATATTGCTAAACTTAGTATATTTTTTTTATTAGACAGTGTATTCATTAATCTGTAAGTTTTAGTTATTTTAAATTTATTAAATAAACAAGAGAATCGCAATCATATATGACCTAAAATAAGGACCCCAAATAAGAAACCCTCTTTTTAATCTCAGAGCCATAAAATCAAAAACACTAAAATAAGAAACCTTTAATTACAAGATCGCATCAAAAAAGAATTCCCGCCTATTGTATTTCTTGTCATTATTCTTTGTGATGTCATGTTCGATGCTTTTTAATAAAAAATGGGGATACTGAATTAGAAATAGTCCCGAAAATAGGAAACACACAATTTCGATCTTTGAAAGGTCCGATTTTTGGGTTCTAATTTCGGTCATATACGGAAGCTTAAACTATTACCGTCTTTGATCCAAATCATATTGTTTTAAGTTTCTCAAAACAGCCAATGAAAGATCGTGACTTAGAAAATTACAAAAAAATTTTTTGTCTAGGGACAAGTCGATCTCAGCCTTAACCAACACTAAAGTCCCTTAGCCGGGATTATCAAGTGATATTAATACTAATAGATACTGACATCAACATCCAGGACATAAAAAAGTGTCAGACATGGACGCGGACTGTCCAGTCCCGGACTGTTAAAGTCCCTGTCCGTGTCTCATGATAACAATGCCCTAAAGATCGGATACATGTATAATTAGAGAACAAGTCTAAACACAAAGAGCTATATCTTTGGCCAACACTGTGTTAATTTTGAATCTTAAATAACATAAAACCAAAATTATCATCCATTTTGATTAATACAGTACACGTATAATAAATCTTGTACACCATTTTTTAATGAAAGAAACCTGCATCTAAAATACACAACCGTGTCGAAAACTCCTCAACAATATCTCTTTCAAGCTTTTGCTTGGTATGACGGTAGGGTTGTTCACGGCTTTCGATAAGAAGATGATGCTTTTCATTGTTACAATTTGATATGTAATAACTATACAGTGGTATATTATTCTATCCAAGGAATTATTATAATACAAAATAATTTTTATTAAATAATGCTAATTATCAGATCTCTTTTTATAGTAAATTAAATTAATTGTTCCCGAGATGGATGAAAAAGGTTTAAAACAATAACTTATAAATAAAAGATGTGTATATATAATAATTTTGGTTAAAAGTTTTGCATTTTTGTTTTCCTTATTAATTTTTCTATAATGTTCTTAAATATACGAATTAAAAATATCTCTATGCTTGAATGATGCTATTTACAAGTGAAAGAGCCACAACTGAAATTTTCTCAGTCAATCGATAAAGTCGTTGCGTATTATTCATTTTTTTACGCTGAGATTTTTGACTAAAGTTACAAGGTTATCCGTGGATAATTCTGATAGTTTTGTGTTATTACACGTCAGCATAGCTTGCGCATTTATTCGGCTAGTTTTCAAAAGTATCTCAAGTTTATGTTCGATTCCGTCGAGGCTTGTCTGGATAGAATTGATAAATTCGTTTGATTGTGCCTGTCCTCTAAGGTCGATATTGTTTTCTTTTGTTTGTTGATTATCTGCGTTTGGTGTGCCGCAAGCCCTTAATACTTTTCCAAAGGAACTCGGTTGAATTGGCGACATTTTTTATTATGTAAAGACGAATTCTCTAAAAACTAAAATTTTGATTTATCTCGTACAAAGAAATGTGGCTCGTGGTCCAAATATATAGTTTTTATTATCATGCTCAAAATTCCGTACTTACTATTTTAAGTGTGGTTCGTGCCAACCCATGATATCATATCGATATTAGTGAACTATTGATGTAAACCATTACTGCGACTGCATAATCATAATTGTATGTACATGTTTGGAAATCCTTCGGGGAATTTGTACACAGCATGCATGTAGAATGTGAAAATAATAAAATCTTATTATACAAACGAATATATCGATATGTAAATAACAAAAAAAAAGCTTCATAAATACATGTACATGAAACATAATGTACATGTATATATTGATTATAAAAACGGAAAAAACATAATTAATCTTCTTTGAGCAACATATAAAACGGGCATTACAAATAATTTTCATCTATATGTAGAAACCTTAAAAAATCTTTAGAACGATGCTAATTTTCATTCTAAATAATCTCTATATCTAATTTTAAATTTATCATATTCTCTGTTTTCAAATTATTGCCTATAAGAATTCGTCAATCTCTGTTCGGAAAAGACTTGTTCTTGTTGTTCGCATATAGCTTTTTCGGACAATGCTGCACCGTTTCCAAGATTCTTCGATAATTCCAATAAGACATCGATATTTAAGAAAGAAAATTTTAAATTTTTGACGTTTAAAGGCTGTAATTCTTTATTTTGTTCTTTTTCAACAATAGTCGTCAATTTAGCGAGTTTTTGGTCAATTCTTTCGAGATATGTCTCTAGCAGTTGAATATCTTCATCTGCTAATACTTCCTTGCAGTTTAACATCTTCCCTTTCACAATTTTTGGATTAGAATTTTGCGATTTTCTCTTTCGTCGTCTTGGAGGATAAAATGCGCCACGTATTTGAAAGATTGAGTGGCGACCTGTAGTATCGATTTCTAAATTTTGCTTTTTGTCGATTGCTGGTAAATCAATGGATTTTAATACGGCCATGTTTATAAAAGTTGGTTCTTTGATATCTAAATGGTGGCGCTTAAATAAAATTTCAGGTCTTACATCTCGTTAGAAGATATATATACAAAGCATTGTCATATGTGGGTCAATTATATGCTATTATTATAATATAAATACGATTAGCCATAGTCCAAGTTAAATTGTTGGCATTATTTGGTTATCGCTATTAATTCGCCACTTTTATTATAACAATAGATATAAACAAGGTAATTGATAAAGATAAACAAGGCTTTTTGAGTAACGAGAATATTATAGAAACATTTTCAATGAATATCGTGTTTTTAATTTGTCATTGCGATTATTAATTACCTTTTAAGGAATTATATTGACTAAGAAAATTGTTTAGTACACATATATTAATAATGTCCAATTTTGTATCTTAATTACATAATCTCTGCTGAAAATAATCAATAATGTAATTTAACTTTAGCAATTTGGAGTATTTATTTTCTTATTGATTGAGTTTAGATTCAAAAAAATTAATGCTATCGCTTAATAATATCTCTACGCTCTTAGCTTATTATTTGTTTCTTTACATTATAAAAAATAACAATTAAGCAAATTTGTAAAATTAAAATTTTAATTACGTAATTACAATTTATAAAATAACAGTGAATTGTGTAAATTAAAATTTTGATTGAGCGATTATAATTTATCATTGTTGTATGTTTTTGGACCAGAGTTTAAGTAAACCCTTTTTTAATGAACAATAAAATTTCGTTAAATAAATAAAATTGTTCTAGGCCTTCAAAAGTCAAACTTCACAAATTAGCTCGTTTTTTATTTGACGGAAATGGAATTGAAATAAATGTGGTTTTATTCTATAAATTACGAAAAGTCTCGCAAATAAATTAAATATTCTGTAGTAGAATTCTAAAGATTATTTAAGATTAATTTTTGTAATTTTTTTACATATAAAGGTTTCTTATAAAGTTTATATAATCATGCATTTTATTAAAGGTGGCTTTAGCGTAAAGAAATAATAATTTATAATTTATAATTGTTTAATCAGGCATATCGATAAATTAATATGCAATTTTAGCTGAAAGGTTAATTAGATCATCTATACTCATACGAGAAAAATTTGTTTCGTATCTATAAAAATTGTGGTTCATTCGTTGTTGTGTTTGCGGTTTTCTCAACGTTTCGCTTATAGTATCGACCTTCTTTTGAATTCCGACCAATCTTATATCGAATGTATCAAATAATTGCTCAGATACATTACAACTTTTGCAATTACTGTGTTCGTTGGGATAGGTGCTCGTTGAGGATGAGTTTGTTCGACGATTAATTGGGTATTGTCCACCATGAATTTGAAATATATGGCGTCTGCCAGTAGTATCGATTTCTGATCTGGTTCTTCTAACAGTTTTTATAGTTTCCATCTATTATGATAATTGAGAATCTTTTTCTTTTGAGAGTTGATGGTTTTTTTATAGTTTCCATCTATTTTGTAACCTTTTATTGGTGTTTGAATAATAAGTTGAATTGTCTTCTAACCCGTTTCTTTTCATTAATTTTGGAATGTACATGTAGTCGTCCTCGTTAAGTTCAACAATATGTCATTCATAGTTTACTAGAAAAGTTAAACAAAAGGACAAACCCTCGAAAATAAATTCAAGTAGCGTCAAGTTATATCAGGTCCATTCGGTATTCCGCGACACATTACAGCCCCATTTTTTGCAAGCGCCAACTGGGTGTTTCGAATCTCGTAGCGCACACTATTTACGCCACATGTATCAACAATACTCGTAAAATTGATCACTTGATTTTGAATTGTTCTACGATCTTACAATACGTATAAAATAACATTTTATGTTAGATAATATTAAAAGCGCAGGCAATTTTCGAGTGAAATTCCATGCACAGTTGGAAAATAAAGTTTGTAAATTTATTGTTCATTGGAGATGACACTCTCATTAACCGAACATGTCCATTCCATTAGTAAAAAGTTCAAAAATCCGGTTATCGAGAATGGGGCAAAATGGTACAGTCCGAGAATGTATGACGTCATATAGAAATGACATGTTCGAATGAAAAATGCAAATAACTCAATATTTTCTTACGCTGTAACTTTAAACTAAAAGCATGTTTATTGAAACAAATAATAAATTCATATATGAGGCGGAATTCCAAATCCGTTAAAAAATTTAAGTTTACAATGGACGTTTTTCTTCCATCGTTTTATATTTTCTGGTTTTATCTGGTTTTTGTGAACATGCAATTGAATGTTTAATATTTTATTAAATATTTTGCGCTAGTATACGTATAATTTCTCATGTGACACGAGTGAATAACAAGGATTTAGTACATGTAACGATAAATGTTTCAAATTTAGTGCATACTTTCATGCTTTAACGTTAGACTTGTTAGAAGAATACGCATAAAGCTGATATTTTTCATATTCTATAAAATGCCTTTATCTTTATAATAATTAATCTAAATCTAATATATTTGTTACTTAACTGAAGAAAGCATCAACTATTATTAGAATTTAAAAAAAAATAAAATTAATTTCTGCCATTGAGAAAATCAATAATTTTTGTTTAGAAGTAACGACTGATACGTGTACTTTTGTTGTCACTGTTGCAAATTTTGGATTTACTAGAGCAGATTAATTTTTATCTTCTAAATTCTGTTATAATAAAAATTCCTTGGTATTATTCAATGAAAATATATAGAAAAAAGTAAATAAGAATACAAATGTGATGTATATTTGTATTTTGGGTCTGATACGAAATCCCGAACTTTCATAAGTCCGAAAGATCGAAATCCCGAATGAACGGCATCTAAAATGCATGAAATACTAAAATTATCACGAGATGTCGCTCATTCAGGGGTGTATGTCGATCCTTCGGGGCTTATGTATGTTCGGAGATTTCGGAATTTCGACCGTTATCGTTGTATTTTACTTTCATGGCATAACATTTTAGTCAGTTTTCCGTCGACATTGAATAGTGTGTGTGTTCTTATTATTTATTAATATGTAATTGAAAATAATAGCTAACCGAATTTTGTGAACATTTAATTAAAAAACTCAAATTAATTAAAAGAAAGCATTCGAAATATATTAATATTCGAAAATTTTCAAGATGAAAATCTAGTTATATTTAAAACTTTAGCCTCTTAAGATAAAAATGAAAAACACATTCAGGTAAAAATGAAAAACACATTCAGGTAAAATGTATGTTTGAAACTACTTGAAACACCAAAGATTCTTGAATTTCAGTAAACACAAATGAAAACCACGAGTTTGCCTGCCAAGTAAAATAGCTAGATGCACAACTCATTCTAGAATCGAAAATGTTATTAAGAGGCATAGAACTAATTATTACGCTTACTTTGTTAAATGTTCAATGAATTCTGTGAATTACTAAAATTTGCCATTTTGTTGTCTTAATTGTTTACATATATACAAACAGATGTTTTGTCTTGTTGTTTCTATAAGAATGCTTGGTTTATAGTTTAATCGGCAAATATCGATAGACTTTACTGCGGAGCTGATTTTTTACATCGCGTTTATTCTTTTTATCCATTAAACCGGAAATTATAAACGGGATAAATAATTATGTCATAATATTTTCGACCAATAAAAGTTCGACACATTTTTCACTAAAACCGTTAAATTAGAACTCGCTGATCCGAAACTGGTCTAAATCGGACGAATATTCCTAACCTGAAAAATATCTCCTATAAAAAATTTAGAGTAACTTGTTTATGATTTATATAGTTTCATTGACTATAAATAGAAACCATTAAGTGAACTTACATTTGTTATTACGATTACATATGATTAATGTACACAATTTATTTTTAACACTTTCTAGAAGTTTGGAGTTACATCTATCTAAATTAAGTCGTAATACATGACATTTAGTTGCAAAATACATGCACACGTATAATGATTATATAAATCAAAGAATATAAACAAAAATTACCTTTGCCGGGCAATATGATTTGAAAAGTATTACATAAGATTAAATCTTACTCGGGATAAGATAAAAATAATGCCATTAATCATTTAGCATTACCGAAAGACTCTCATTTATCTGATCAAATGCAATCAGAAATCAATGCAAGTTTAGTCCAATTTTAGAGAAATTTAATTAACAGAATCAGACAAACGAGTTCTATAGCAGAAAATTAAAATAAAAATAATAGTATATGTCTACATATTTTAACAAAAGCTACAAATTAAAAATTAAAATTATGATTGATTATTATCCATAACAATTATATACAATAGCGTTAATAATTTCGAGAAATATTAGAGGTGTGTTCATTTAGTTTAACAAACATTATCATAAAGAAAACTATAATGAAATATCAAAGGTTTAATTGATAGGTTGTGTGGCTAATGATACCTGACTAAATTATTTATAAGGTGACGAATAGTTTTGGCACTGTGACGATCGACGAAACCTGCGGCGATTGATGAAACATGTGCCGAGATCGAGACGCCAAGTATTGAGTCGAATAAAAGTCCGTCGATGCATCGATGTTCGTATGAGGTCAACCGAGATTATTAGTCAGAAAAATTGAGCGTATTCTTTTTCAGTTTACGCAAATTGTTGATTGTTGTGTGGATGTATTTGGTCAGAAGGTAATAGAAAGAGAGCAATTGGTTTTAAATACTCCCTTTCCAATAAAGCTATTGAGAGTACGGAATTATTATCAAGCAAAAGTGCAGCAGGTTGTAAATAGTAAACCTCTTTGAAAAAATTAATGTTAGCGAAGTAATAATGAAAGAGGCAGCGAAGGAAATTTCGAGGTTTTGGAATGAGAAGAATAAAAGAATTTATTCCTGGATAAAATGTGAATGCAACAAAATATTTGATATATGCTTTGATATATTATTAGACAGGAACTTAGATTTATCACGATCCACCCCTATTGTCATTAACACTAGAAACCATTGTGAGATAAATTTTTTTAATTGGTTTATTTATTTATAACAAGTCACGCAGCGTGACAACAAGGAAATCCCACGTGACAAGCAATTTTTCCCGTTTTTGCTTATACTTTGGATATAAGAATTTTTGACAATTACTCTGCAAACATCATGCTGGACGGGGAAACCCATAAACCTCGGTCTATGGGACACAACCGGTCAAGAAGACTACGACCGACTCCGTCCGCTCTCCTATCCACAAACCGATGTCTTCTTGATTTGTTTCTCCTCAGTGAGTCCGGCATCGTTTGAAAATGTGCGTGGCAAGTGGCATCCCATCACGCACCAAACGTCCGATTATTTTGGTAGGGACCAAATGGATCTGCGTGAGGACAAGGAAACTATTCTGAAGTTACGGCAGAAACAGCAGTCCCGATTATGTATCCCCAGGGCCTGCAGATGGCCAAAGATATCTCGGCGGTTAGGTATTTGGAGTGTTCGGCGTTGACGCAAAAGTGTTTGAAAATGTGTTTGATGAGGCCGTTCTTTCTCCTGCCCCTGTACAGAAACAAGTGAAGAAGTGTCTGATCTTGTAAATATATTATTAAGTTGGATTTTTTTTATATAAATTATAATAAATGAATTAAGATAGGGATAACGATTTTTTATTTATCTTTTTTCTTTGTTCTTGGTGTGTATTTCTTCTTTCTCTTTTCTTTTAATTCTGAAATCAAGAACTTAATTTTATTTACTTTTTTTGTCTTTATTCAATAATTTGTTCATTTATTTCTTTCATTTATTGACTCATTGACTCTCATATATATATATATATAATATATTTTTTTCCACTATAATTTATTATACTTATTTAAAAATTATAACTGGTTAATTAAACTTATGAATTTTGGTTCTCGAAATTTATTTTATTTTTTAAAAATTTTAAAAATGGAAATTATCAGTAGCGTGTGTCCAACACATTTATTATCGAAGGTTGGAGATGGAGAGGGAAGAAAGTTAGAGGGGAAGATGATGTGGTTGTCGGAAAGCTAATAGAATGCTGAATGGAGGAGACAAAAAAAAGTGTACATGAAACAATCAATATTCAATAATATATGATGCCATTTTTTTACGAAAAACCAAAAACAATTATCATACATAATAATCAATAATTTTAATAATATGTTGAATATATTCATTTATAAAAAAAATCAAACAAATGAATCGAATGAAATTATAAATAAATGGTGGCATCATATTAAAATTTCATCGTTCTTAAGTGTTTTTCTCTGATAAGGTTAACACATAATAGAATAGACTCCCAATGCGTGAATTTTTCAACTGTCACTAATAAATCTACGAATATCTAATTGTTGTTCACAGAATTATAATATAATTATAATTACATATTAAAATATTGTAGTTGAGATATCGATGACGGGGCTGTTGAAGGGGATAAGGATAACGAATGCGTTTGCGCACCATCCACGTTACTATCAGCCACAAAAAAGAATAACGAATCAGCGACAAATCTTTCAATAACATGCACTAGACCCAGTACTTGCTCTTTGGTATTATCAGCGTGCATGCATATACGAACACGCTCTCTTCCCGGTGGGATGGTTGGAGAACGAATAGGTTTGACGCTGTAGCCGGCCTGTTGGATGATTTTACTTAATTTCACGACGTTTTCATTGCTTTTTTGATTATTGTTTTTTTTAAAAAAAGTCATCAAACTTAAATCTACATCCGAAAATTGACTCAACAATCATGATGTGCTTACCAGTATAATGATTCCTTGAATTGCGCTTGTGGAAGGTAACAGCATATGTGAAGGTATTTTGATACTTGATCTAAACAAAGTAATCAAGTTTTTTAACCGCTCTCGAAGCTACAAAAAACAAAAAAAACATGATTACCGAAGGATAAGGATAATTAATCGTTGTGATAAGTTAAAATAGGACACCTGGGCTCCAAGCTCACTGGCTATAAAATTATATGCGCATTTAAATTATTATAAGGCAAAAACGTGGAGAAAATTAAGGTCTCGCGTAATTTATGAGATACGTTCGTAGTACAGTAGTCGACATAAATATCCGAAATTCTTATGACAGGTAAGACATTTTATTTTTATTATTAACATATGCGAAAATTTTTTACGCACATTTTCAAATACGACTACTAACTATTTACAAAAATTTAATAGTCAATTTTTTTTCCCTCCCGTTCAATCACCGCCGAAACACGATCCTTCATACTCCTTGCTAATCGAAGAAAGAGATCTTTGCTCAAACCCGCCCATTCTGTTTGTATTATCATTTGAAATTCCGTTGTTGAAAGTTTTTTTTGATTAACCATAAATTTACCTCCTTTTCCACCTTCCCTTAAGTATAGCCCACAAATTCTCGATGGGATTGATATCTGGTGAGTAAGAAGGCCAATCAAGAATTCGAACACCACAGTGATGAAAAAGATTGATTATTTCGCCTGCATTGTGGATTGGAGAGTTGTCCTGTTGAAAATGCAACCTACGACCTGCTATGGAAATATGGGGAAAAAGGTGCATTTCTAGGATTTCTTGATATTTTTTAGCATTAAAGTTTTCAGTGAACAAGATAAGTGCAATTGGTCCTTGCGCACTAAAAGCACTCCAAGCATGAATCTTATAGGGATGCTTTACCATACGTTTATGTGGTCACAATGTTCCATGATGGTATCTTATTAACTGAGTATTTCTGAACATTTGGAGGATTGTTTCATCAGAAAAAATCATGTGAGACCAATTTTGATGGACATGTTTCTGTGCCCATTCAAGATGAGCTGCAATGTGATAAGGCTGTAAAAGAGGAACCCGTGGTGGATGACATACATCAAATCGAAGATTTTTTTAAGGTACATTTGAATTGTATGAATAGAAACTTTTAAGTTAGGATCTTTTTGTTTAAGTCTTCCAGTCATTTCAGCTGCAGTGGTGGCATTATTGATCTGCACCAATTGACCAAGGATGCGATGTTGTTCAACTGTGAGAGGGGTCTTCCAGGTCTGGGAAGTGGCATAATACTTGATGATTTTTTAATCTAATTGATTATATCATACACTGTAGACTTAGGAAAACCTGTTATTCACACAATTTCTGCAGGTTTCCGGATATTATTTGCCCAAAGCTGACTTACCACCGTTCTTTGTGCTTTGTGCTTGGAAATGGGTGGCATTTTTTTTATTTTTTTGCTAACGGGTGCAAGAACTGATGGCAAAAATGTTTACGTTGTTGTTTTTATTATTAAACAAAGCAAGTTTAAAATTGGTAACGCTACGCGACATTTTGTGCACCAGATCGACATTCCGAATGACCACTGTATATTATAGCAGCTAAAATATGTTAATAATAATAATAATATAATAATAACAATGAATGTCTACCAAACTGAAAAAATGCGAAGAATAAATTGGAAATTTCGTGCTGTCACACGTAATTATGCACCATTATCAGGAAGGGTTGAGTAGCGTACCTCCATTTGACGCCAATGCTTTCCAAATGTGTGCAAGCGCAAATATCTTGTCTTCTAAACCGAGTTCACAGACTGTTCCACGTCCTTGCTCACCGTATACTCCAGTTGCGTGAGCCTATTAATATGTTTTACATGTAAAAATAAGATCCCGTCGCTTAGGAAAAAAGCAAAGAGTATACACGCATACATGCACACAAAAAACTCACTTCATCCACCATCAAATAAACATTATACGATTTCAGTATTTCAACTATTTCTCGTAGAGGCGCGATATCACCCTCCATCGAGTACAAACTCTCCACCGCGATGAAAATATTCTTTTCGCTAGCGATAATTTGCACAGTCTTATCCAGTTGTCGCGTCAAATCCTCCAAGTCATTATGCAAAAATTTCAGCACAACTTTCGCACAAGAATTTCTCACGCCGTCGTGCACACTAGCATGCACGAACCGGTCGAGAATAATCGCGTCTCCCGGTTGTGGAACACTACTAAAGAAACCGACGTTTGCGTCAAACCTCGAAGTAAATATCAAGGCGCTTTCGGCGTGGTGGAAATCGGAGTTCCCGTCCAGAAGATGTGAACCAGTTGAACCAAGTGGTGGTTGTGAGAAATTTTTGAACAAATGTCTTTATCGATGGAATAATTTGCGTTTTCATTTTTCATATTAAACGCCCGCGATAGAGTAGTTAAAATAAATGATCTTGTGTACGTCACCAAATTTTTACGCCAAATTACTCGATACGGTAATGATGATAATCATGAAACATCGATGTATCGATCCTATTGTAAACAACATATTTAAATTCGAATAATTGAATTCAAATTTTCCTAACATGTAAAGAATTCCCTAATCTTCATTGTCGGTCCAATAAAAACTTGCAGGTACATGTACATGTAGTATGGAGATTTTTGTATACCGTGTACAAATATGTAGGAAGTAACTAAATATGGCAACGATAACATAATCTTTTTTAACGCAGAAAACCATCTTTCGATACGCTTTCAATTTAGTCCATATTTTTAATTGTTGTCAATATTTAAAATAAACATGCATTTGTATCAGTGTGAATGTTTGGTTTCATGATATATAAATAAATACAGCTCTTTGACCGTCGTAGTTAATGAAATAGGAAAAGAAGCCTATTTTTTTAATCTATTGTTTAAAATGGCCGATTCCCTTATACGTGTTAATTACGACTGCTTGAGCTATATTGAATTACTATTTTCAAGCAAATGCTCTTACCAATTAACTCTTTCTATAGAAGAGTTGACTAAACCAGCTGCAAAAACCCGTGGTGATTCTGAAAAGCCACCACGACCGCAAAACAGTTGGATAATTTTTCGAAGAGATTATGAAGCGCGTTTACGTTTGTTCAATCAACACGTTAAACAAAAAGTCAAAGAAACAGCAAAGGAATGCAGCTTAAAATGGCAAACATTATCAAGTGAAGACAAGTATTTCTTCAAAATATTAGAGAAGTTGGCTTATGAGAATCACAAGAGCTTATATCCTAATTATAGGTATAAGCCAAAAAATGTAAAAGGTTTAAACGCCAAGAAATGGGTTTTTCGCGAACAGAAGAAATATACATTTACATCGATACCCATGTCTAATAATTCGCCTCCTCAAGAAACAACACAGATCGTTAGGTCACCCTCTTTGAATGATACTACATCAACAATTGAAAACAATCATACCACTTCGACAACCATTGATAATGACCATCTTTCTGATAATGAAGCCGGAAATTCGATCGACAACTCGTTTAATGAAACAGTAGACCAATATTCATTTTCACTTGGGAATGATGATATCGATATTTATAGTAATGACTCAGTCAACCGTCAAATCGATTCACAATTGTTGTCTTTGCCCCTATGAGAATCCCAAGAATATGATTTATTAAATATCGATTTATTATATGATAACTTCTCTAATAATTTTTATAACATATAACTTAAGTTAGATTCGAAATTTCTATGTATACTAAGCATAAGCATGATTTTCCTCGACAATTGTATTATCGCAATTCTTTCGTTCGTTTATTCGCTTATTCTGTTCTTTTTGTTCAGTCTATTAGATCATTGTGTTCATTTTAAATTTGTTCTATCTATCTGTTCTTTTGTTTTAGTCTATTAGTTCGTTGTGTCCATTTTTAATTTTTCAATAAAGCTTCGGATATTTCAGAAATGCGTGTCGACGATTCGAAAGGATTGATTGTTTTGCTCAAAGAATTAATCCTATGCGAACATACTATCACATTAATAAATTATTTAATTATAACTATTATTTTTTAAATAACTAAAGATTCATACATTGTCAAATCACAATTTGATACTTTATCTGAAATCTTCTTTTACAATTTTTATTTGCCACAAGATTATTAGACAAAGAAAAATGTTACATGTTATTTGTTCAAAATTTCCATTTTAAATATCCTTTATTATCGATTTACATAATTACATGTTTACCAAAGTAAACCAAAAATTCCGTAATCCCTTAAATCTTTACCTGACAGACTGTTCTACATTTATACTGAATGTCAAATGATTATTTAGGTAACGATGTTCGTCATACGCTAATTTGTTGGCTTCGTAGGAATCGATAATTAATAAATATCCTTTACAATACGGTTATCAAAATAACCTTTCTTGAGCAATATTGAGATAAAATAATGATCATAAATGAGAAAGATTCATTTTTTATTATCATTATAAGATTTTTTTTAATATAAAAGTTAAATTTAATAACTAACGCATTTTTTAAAATCGCGGAACAAAAAATTGCCATGCACTTTCAAGGAGCAAACCACCTTTGAAAGATGGATGTTCAAAACTGTATATATTTGTCTATGTGACTTTTCATTTGAAAAATTAAGAACAATGATGTCCAGTCAAAAAATGAGATTTATACACTTATTCATTCGACTGCAGTATTTTATTTATTTAGTGCAACCAATAGCTAGCTTTTGCATTTCGCTTTGTATAGTCTTTTGTTCCACTTGATATCTTTTCATTATTATTGCTCTTGTGTTAATTTGATATCATTATCGTGATTATTATTACTATTCGACGATTGTAAAAACAATTCTCTTATTTCGTTAAGACTGTCATTCGATTGAGAATCTCTGCCTTTATATTATCTGCCCAGTCGTTGTTTATTATTTATTTTTTTTTATACAAAAACTGGTACTTTTTTCTTGGTCAATAAAGACTTGCAATATTCTGTTGTAACGGTTTTCAGATTTATGTATGGGATCCGACTTCTTTAGAAGACTTTGTTGATCTTGAAACTTCAGATGGTTCACTTATTTGACGAGATTTATCAGGTTTCTTATCATCGATAGCTTATTATTAAAGATAATCATTGGCACAGTTAAACTGTCTTGCAAATGTTTTTCCATTCTGATCAAATTTCTTGTAATTCTTTAACAGACAATACTCGTCGAAACACGTGGTTTGAAAACTGATGGCCTTCCTTACATTTGTGAATGTAAAAAATCGGTGTGAGGATATTGCATAACTTACATTTATACAACGTATAAATTCGGAAGTGTAGATTCTTGCTATTCATTTGATTCAATGTCTGTCAATAGATTTATGCTATATATATAAACCAAACCTATTATAAAGTAAGATACTAACTGATCAAAAAAAAGGTTTTCAAATATGTCTAGCTTAACCATGAGATTCTTCAAGTTTTCTGACGAATAAATTCATATTGTCGAGCAATACATGTGCTTGCTCTACTCCGAGCATCAAATTTCCCAAGGATATCATTTTTAATTATGGTTGAGTATTTCCCGCAAAGTCGATAATGATATATTTGATTCGAACGGAACCAATCAGGAAGAGATTCTAAGAATTGAGTGTATTCGATTACACATTCTTTTGGATTCATCTGTTATTAGAATTGGGAAATAATATTATTCATGTTACTATTTGAAACTACACAGTTCAAAATATTAGGTGAGATATTTAAGGTCTTGGTTTATTACGGATTAAATAAAGTGTAATATTTAATCATCTAAATTGTTAAATTGCATCATCAAATTAGTCAGTATAAATCTATTAGCGACAGCTTCACCTACACACCACATGATGCACATTTGCGCGTTATGTCTCAGATTTGGAATTGAATAATCGGCGACTCTGATTCATATTTATTTATTTTGATAATATGCTTTGAATTGTTCTTTTAACTGATGTGCTATCATTATCACCGGGTACTATTGGCACATATAGTGCTCGGAACTACATGATATTCAGTTTAAACATTTGGTAATCGGTTAAACTATGGTTAACGCTATCCCCATTTTAAATAAAATACTTCACAAAGATCTTGTAGTTTTTATTGCACGACATCATTTTAATAAATATATTTATGGTGCTTCAAATTCAGCTAGAAACAAAAGTTCTTATTATTTGAGGCAAAACAATGAAGCACAGGATCTCAACTGTATTATCAATATTTGTAGCAAAAATTGATGATATTAACGTTTATCTGGTGATAGTAACGACAATGTTTATGTTTTTAGCTGATCTTGGAGATTTGTGGACAACTTTGAGAGCAGGTCTGAGAACGGGCTTAATCATTTGAGAGCCGGTTAATGCTATATTAATAGCATGAGTGAAAACAAAAATGGACGTGTATAGGATTATTAAAAAAAATATTTAAATGCTAATAAAAACAAAAATAAAAATTATTTATTAAAAAATTTAAGCACTTTAATATAAAAATTATTTTGTTTTTACTATATTTTATATATATAAATCATTACCAATTGCAAAATTTTATTACATAAGTGTATTATAAATAATTCAATATTATATCGAATAGTTAAAACTAATATATTAAATAACCAGAATATTATAAAATACTTTATATTTTTTATTTTCTTTTTTTATTAATTTATCAAATCTTATCAAATAACCATATGTAAATTAATTCAAAAAAGTATTATTATTATTATAGTAATATAAAATTTCTTTGACTTCATAATTTTATATTTTTTAAATTTTAAATTTTGATTAATTGAATATTTTTTTGAGATTCAGTAATCAAATACAGATAATTAATATACTAGTTATAAAATTATTAATTTCAGAATTCTAAATTTAGTATATAATTTATTTAAATATTATTTTTATCTATTTATATTTTGTTATTCTTTTTAAATCTTATTTATTTTTTATTTCAAATTATCTTGTATTCTTTTTTATATTTTATTTTATTTATTTCATTTATCTTATATAATAATAATAACCAAAAGCAATACATCAGGAACTAAATTTATCAACAAAATATAGTAAAATTAAAAATTATCTTTCTGTATTAAAATTTATAATTTTATTAAGAAATAATTTTATGTTTATATTATAATAAAGTTCATCAGTTGTAGTTTAATATATATTTTTTTCAGATTTTTTAGATTTTTTCTGAAAGTGTTGTTCTAATTGCAAAAATTTTTACTAATTAAAAAAAAAGTTTAATTAATAAAAATTTTTGCATTAACTTTGCAATCTTTCAGAAAAAATCTAAAAAATCTGAAAAAAACTATTTGTTAAACTACAACTGATGAACTTTATTTTAATATAAACATAAATTATTTCTTAATAAAATTATAAATTTTAATATAGAAAGATAATTTTTAATTTTATTATATTTTATTAATAAATTTAGTTCCTGATGCATTGTCTTTGATCGCTACTATATTTCACTTTGCATTTTATATCCTTATCTTATATTTTATTTCTCATGTATCTT